TTTACTCTTCATCTAGATTCACCAGTTACTAACATTTTGCCACGTTTGCAGAAAACGTATTTCTTTACCCCTATTTTAGTATGTGATGTGTCCTCATATCAAAGATATTCTTTACACAACCACAGCACAATTATTAGAATCAGAAAAATTGACCTTGACACAATCCATGTTTGGTATATATTCATATTTTGCCAATTGTCCCTATAATGCCCTACAAAGCCAGTACATTTCTTATCCACTTTTGCAAAGCATTATTTATTCCAGATGAATAACAGTAAGGGGCTTCTGTGATACTTGTTTTTATCCCAGGTTATTAGTAAATGAGTGTTTGCATTTCATAGCAAAGAACCATATTCAGATGATCTATTACATGTTTCAGCACTTTAGTATACCTGGCATTGTGACACTGTTATAAACAGATCAGAATTACTGAAATAAAATAATCTGCTTTAGGCAAGCATTGTTTTTGTCTTTGATACTTCAAACTTTTTATCCAAAATGAATTCAAAAAATTTATCAACAGATATTATTTGTCACCTCAAGGATTAGCAGACTTTTTCTATTTTTTACTTTAACCAAAATTAACATCACCAAAAAGGGGGCAAACAAAAATCATGTCCCTCTGCATGTGATACCTTGAGAGGGAGACAGTGTCTGTTTTGTCCTGTTTTAGCCAAAAATGTATAACCTCAATCCAGTCGTGACAAAACATTAGACAAACCAAATGGAGGGAAATTCTATATTATTACTAGCCTTTATTTTTCAGAAATGACAATGTCCTTAAAGACAAAGGCCAAGGAACTGCTCCAGATTTAAAAAGACTAAAGTGACAGGAAGTAAAATGCAACGTGTGATCCTAGATGGATCTTGTCCCTGGTGGGGAAAAGTGACTTATAAAGGACATTATTGGGGCAGCTGACAAAATTGGAATTTGTACTGTAGATATGCAGTCCCCAACCCCTGGACTGCAGACTGGTACCAGTCCATGGCCTGTTAGGGACTGGGCCACAGAGCTCTGCACCCCCCACCTTCCTCTCCGATCCCTGGAAAAATTGGCTTCCCTGAAACTTAGAAACTGGAGGGGAGGGGGTGCATAGCAGGAGGTGAGCAGTGGGACAGCAAGCTAAGCCTCATAAGCCTCATCTGTATTCACAGCCACTCCCCATCACTGGCATCACCACCTGAGCTTACCCCACCCCACCCCACCATCACCCCCCTGGTCTGTGGAAAAATTGTCTCCCATGAAACTGGTTCCTGGTGCCAAAAAGGTTGGGGACCACTGCTGTAGATAATACAAAGTAATGTATCAATGCTTAATTGTCTTTATAATGCAGTAACTATAATGTTCTACAACAGAATATGCTTGTTCTTAGGAAATACACACTCATATATTAAGGGATTTTTAGTATGCAGACTACTCTCAGAGGGTTAAGAAAATAAGAGAGAGAGAGAGAGAGTGTGTGTGTGTGTGTGTGTGTGTGTGTGTTTGGAGAGAGGAAAAAATGATAAAGTAAAAGCTAAGGTTACTAAAAAGTTACTAAATGGTGAATCTGGGAAGAATACACAGAAGTTCCTGGTGCTATTTTTTGCATTTTTTCTATAAATTTGAAGTTTTCACTACCAATTTTTTGTCTTAATTTGATATTGAATGTCTAAGAGCAAATGTATTTTCTTCATTATGAATCAGTAAGTCCTCCTTTACCCTGACCGAGAAAGTCAGTTGGGGCTTCTAAGAAACCTGACTGTAAAACAAAGTAGCAAAATACAGATCTAAGAGCAGAATGATATTTAACAGTGTTGTTTTGTGGAACAAGTTCTCAAAAGTTGGTTGAATAAGTACTTTTTTCTTGTTTTTACTTAGATATTTTATGACCTGGTCAGACAGATAAATAGAAAAACACCAGTGGAAAAGAAGAAGCCTAAAAAGAAATCATGTCTGCTGCTCTAGGCCCGTAGTCAGCAGCAGCTCTGAGCCAGGTAAGATGCTAAAGGCAGAACAAATGCCTTTCTCATCCTCTTATTTTGGGTTTTTCCAAACTTTAACCACTTCCTATTTCACCTATTGCAGTCTTTCTAAGTATCTGTAACTTGTAAATGTGATAAATAACTTGTAGATACATTAATCTGTTGGATAACTTGCCATCTTCCCATGAGATTCGAAGCTCTGAGGGCAAGAACCAAGTCTGCTTTGCTCACCCCTGAGGCCCCAGTGCCTTCTAAAGAATGGGTATTCAAATAATACTGGTTGAATGAACAGAATGCCTTCCTAGATGACTCCCAAATTCATCCTGAATTGAAGTGAAACTGGTTCCTCTGAAACAGAAAGACATAAGGGCACATTTGATGAATTATCTCAAGGTGAACACTCCAGTATGTATCAACAGTAGTCACTCCTCCCCAAATGTAACCCCTGCCCTGATTTCTAACACCATAGATTAGTTTTGCCTGTCTTTGAACTTTACATAAACAAAAACATATAAAGTATTATTTTACTTCTTTCACTCAAAAGTATTTTTTTCAGAATTATGCATGTTGCGTGTAGCAAGTGTTCATTTTTATTATATGACTACACTAGCAATATATTTATATATTTTATTGCTAGACATTTGGGTTCTTTTGGATAATTAGTATGAATAATTCTATGCACATTCTCATATATGTCTTTGTGCACATGAGCATGCATTTCTGTTGGATATATGTCTAGGACTAGAATGACTGTATCATATACATATGGACAACTTTAGTAGATACAGCAAAAAGTTTTTCATAGTGGTCATATATGAGTTCCATATCCCCCTCAAAATTGGTATTGTCAACCTTTAACTTGAGCCATTGGGGTCGATGTGTGGTTGTGTATCATTGTAGTTTTGGTAGTTGTTTCTTCTCAGGTATGGGTCAACTTCTTTCATAGAAACATTTCATCTGTAGGCTTCTAAGTATTAAATAGTAGTTGACTTTAAGTACCACTTAAGTTTTCATTAAGTGGCCCCATTGGAGAGAAATTAGTGGCAGCATTTAAGCTGCCTATCAAGTGAAAGACCAGGCCCTGTGGGGACTGTTTGTTTGTTTTTCTTTAATTAGGTATTTAAATCCCCTGAACAGTTTCTACTTCATCAACTCCATAAATAATATCATAAAAGAATATTTTTATGGAGTGGATTTATGACACAATTTGATGCTAATTATATGAATATTACTAAACTCAGTCCAGTTAGAGGAAAGTAAACTGTTCCCACTTGGGAGTTGGTTACACTGACTCTTATTTAAGTCTCTTGGGACCATTTAGTAGATTATTCCTTGCAGAGCTCTAAATTAACTAATTTGTGCTTCCTTAGAGATATGAATGAGTATCTCTTCAGGGAAACAACTGAGTAATTATACCCCCTTTTTTAAAGGAAAAATGGGCAGAAAGAAGAAAAGAGTATCGGGATTGTCTCTGATAGTCAGATTTAGGAAAGACAGCTTCTGACCAAATGGTCGCTTTAGGCCTACGGTTCCCAACCCCCAGGCCTCAGACCAGTACCAGTCTGTGCGTGGCCCGTTAGGAACTGGGAAGCATTGCCACCTGATCTGTGATATCCCCACACCCTGCCCACCAGCCCCATCTGGTTCCTGGCACCAAAAAGGTTGGGAAACCACTCCTTTAGGCCTTTAGTGAAATCTTGATTCAATAACTTTGAATCATCGGTTCCCTGAAAGTGATTATTGTTAAGACTACCGGTGTTTGTGTTTGTTTAGGTAAGGGTGGAAAGGTAGGGAAAATGAGAACTCTCATAGTTGACTGCCTCATGGACACCATTACCTTGGCTGGCCCTAGTTTAATTTCCTATTCTCTTGGCTTATGTTTAAAGAAAAAGGTGCCACCTCCTGGCCTGTGATTTTAAAATTCATACACACCCAGCAATGTGACAATGTATTATGAGTTTTACCTTAGAGGAGATAAATCTTGGCCTAGATCTAGAAAATAAGACTTTCATCCTGGTTGCATAAATTCTTAGACCCTGATATGTAATTCAGCTTACAATATACTTAATAAGTCACCTGAGATCTCTGTGGATGTTTGATAATACCAAGTAATAGATGACTTGGCAATCAGACTACTTCGCAGTTCATTTTATTGTGATTATAGACTTGAAACGCCATGTTGTTCCTGTACTTTTAAAAGTACTGAGATACAGGGTAGATTTAAATAGTAATTACAAACATTTAAGTAAGAGTACATGAACCTTCCAGGCAACCGATCTAGTCTATAGCCTTTAGGCAAAATTGCATTGAAACATGTTAATCTCTTTTTTATACATCCCATATTTAAAGATCTCTGAGAGAAATTCATCATCAGGAATTCTTCCTTTAACCTAATTCTCTCTTCTGTTGACATTAAGACTAACTGTGATTCTTCTGCCCTTGAATGCGGGGATCAGTTCTTTCTGTCTCATCCCTTGCCTTAATCTGTAGTAGAAGTGATAATCCTAATATATAGAATCATAAAATGGTTGAATAAAGAATGTCCCATGGAAAGTTTATGTAGGCAAGTATCGTTTCTTTGGTAGAAAAGGAAGGTTTAAAAATAAGATGATAATGGGATAGGAATGAAATATCACTGTTCTCCTCTTTATATCAGTCGTCAGATATAATGTGAAACATTAAGTATAATAAAACTGAGGTATAGCTAAGTTGATCAATTATAGACTTCCCACCTGTGAACTCAGTCTTCTATCTTTGATTATTTGTTAAGTATTTTTAAAGGGAATTTAAAATAGCCCTGTTACCATAGCTGTTTGTTATAATTTAGTTCTCTAATGATGATCAGCCAAAATCATTGTTTCTTTCTATATTATTGAATGTCTGCTTGTTTACTACCATCTTCTGACATCAAGAGATTAACCGTATGTATATGTATATCCATATCTATTCAATGTTCTAGATTACAGGAATGAAGAACTGTTGCCTAATTGGAAAGTGCCAGCATTCCAGACTTCAAAAAATAAATCTGAAGAGGCTTCTCCTGTTTTATATATTATGTGAAGAATTTAGATCTTATATTGGTTTGCACAAGTTCCCTGGAGAAAAAAAAATTGCTCTGTGTATATCTCTTGGAAAATAAGACAATAGTATTTCTCCTTTGCAATAGCAATTATAACAGATGTGAAAATAAATACTTGACTCTAATATGATTATACAAAAGAGCATGGATGCATTTCAAATGTTAGATATTGCTACTATAATCAAAATGATTTCATATTGACCTTTTTATCATGATTCCTCCCTGTCAAGCACTAAAAAAGTTGAACCATTATACTTTATATCTGTAATGATATAGATTATGGAATTTCCCCTCAAACTCATTGCAGCAGATAACTTTTTTGAGTCATTGACTTCATTTTATATTT